TCCAAGATCCCTTTCACTGTTACTACTGTTGAGCAAGGTACCACCTATACTGTACCTGTGCATTTTGTTTTTCTTGCTTACATGTAGAGTCACACATACTGTCAAGCACAAGTGACCAGATCCACATGTGTAGATTTCAAGTACCATTGCTGTATTCTGCTTATAATAAGAAATGTCCACAGACTGCTTGTCTTCCCTTGGGAACAGATAGAGAGCTTGGGGAAGGGATCTGTGTGTGTGTGTGTATCAGTCTTGGATCTCTTACATCTGTGTGACAACTCAAGGCTAATTCCCTGCTTGATCCCTCCTTCCTTTTGGCTGGGTGTTTCCCAACAGATACCAATTTTGTTCATCATAGATTTTCAGAAGCTCCTTAGGTATAAGCAAAGAAAATATTGAAGTCAGGGGGGAGGTATTGAGTGATGGATGCTAACTAATCCTTGTCCAAATATAAAAATCTCAGTGGCTTAATGTCCTTGGCGGTGTTGTTGCCGCCTTTTGTACAGCTGATTCTGGGACTTTTCCCACTATTGCAACAGGATATTCTCCACCCTTTCTTAAATCCATAGAAAAGAAATACTGGCTGTGCTCATGGCCAATTCCTATCCTGTTGTGATTTATTGCTGAATTATATCATACTGATTAGGCACATGAAGTATGGGACCTTTTCATTCTACTGTTTCAGTACTTCAGCCTGTGCCAAACCACTCAGAGTTAAAGCATTTACAGCCCTGATGGCTGAGCAGTAGAGCACCATCATGCAACACTGGTGCAATAGCAGTGTGGTCAGAAATGGTATTCAGCAGGTTCTGACCAGTTCTGGAGAACCAGTAGAGGAAATTTTGAGTAGTTCGGAGAACCGATAAATACCACCTCTGACTGGCCCCGCCCACATCTATTCTCTGCCTCCCGAGTCCCAGCTGCTCGGGAGGAAATGGGGATTTTGCAGTAACCTTCCCCTGGAGTGAGGTGGGAATGGAGATTTTGCAATATCCTTCCCCTGCCATGCCCACCAAGCCACACCACACCCACCAAGCCACACCCACAGAACCGGTTGTAATTTTTTTGAATCCCACCACTGAGCATGGTGCTAGATAAAACTGACCAGAAACACCAAACAGCAAATTCTGAACTGACCTACTGCTGCTCACCTGAGTTGGTCTCAAACATACACTAATGGGTGGTGAACCCAAACTGATTTTAACCTACCTTGTGGCTGCTATTGTATGTTGTCACCTTAAGTGGCCAAATGCTAATTTAACACCAGTACAATAAACAGAAGAACAGAGTTGGAAGGGACCTTGGAGGTCTTCTAGTCCAACCTCCTGCTCAAGCAGGAGACACTATATCATTTCAGACAAAAGGCTCTTCTAAAAAACTCCAGTGTTTACAGCATCCACAATTTCTGGAGGCAAAACATTCAACTAATTAATTGTTCCAAATATCTGGAAATTTTTCCTTGGTTTTAGTGCGGCTCTTTCTTTGATTAGTTAATTAGTTGATTAGTCTAGAANAGGATCTCATGCCCAGTGCAGCTGTGTCTACCAAGAGGAGGTTAAAAAAGATTAAGATGGTAGCTGCATAAGCCTACCAGTGTACCTAACGTCCCGGTCCTACTGTCCCCATTTATTTGTACCCATTTCCTGTGTTCTTATTCTTTATTCTTGTTTATTCTTATTCCTGATATCTTGTACACGAGTGACAAACTAAATAAGTAAATAAATGAAAATAAACCATGCAACATTAGTCTTTCCCTTTTTTGGCGTGATGCATATTGTCTTTCTACAGGTAGTCCTCCATTATCGATTGAAATTAGGCCGAGCAACTCAGTTGCTAAATGACACAGGCATTAAGTGAAACATCACAACACCGTGCTCAATTTATGTCAATTCCACTGTGGTTGTGAAGCAAATCAGTCACTGTCATTAAGCGCAACATCAGATGGCTGCAACTTGGGACTTCCTGCCAGGTCTTCCACTGACTTGCTTGACAGAAGCGGGATGGCTAATCTGTTTGACTTATTTTTATCTATGTTACAAATGTTTTGGACAAAGTTGGTGCTGTGGACATAGTTTATCTTGATTTTAGCAAAGCATTTGATACAATTCTCACAATGAGCTCATAAAAATGTGGTACAGCTGGGGCTTCATCCCTGGGTAGTTCAGTGGATAGGAAGTTGATTCACGGATCGATCCCCAGGGGGCGATTGTTAATGGGACTGAAACACCCATTGCTTCTTGCCTCCATTTGCTCAATGGAGAAATATTACAAGCTTAGAACTTTGTTCATGTTTTGGAATAGTTCTTTGGCCTAGTATAGTGGGGGCTAACTTTTTTGTTGTCCCATGCCCAAAGCGCGCTTGCCCCTGCACCAATAATGCGATGTGCATGTAATACCCCCAGCCCTGTGCATGTGTGTGCATGCCCTCCCCGTGCTCCCCATGTGCATGTATGCACAACCCCCCAGCACTCCCCATGTGACCCCCCCGCACCTTGTTTTGGGCCTAGTAGGCCTCCCTGCAGCCTCCTGGGACCAAAAACAGGCTGTGGTGGGGGCACCACACCTCTCCCCCATGCTCCCCCCATCCCCATGCATGCACACGTGACCCCTTCACTTCCCACACTTGTGCACGTTACCCTCCCACCTCCCCGCGCATGAAGCTGGACGGTGGGAGGCGCCCGCACATGCATGTGGAGCTGCTCGCTCCACAGTTCGCATGCCCACAGAGAGGGCTCTGTGTGCCACCTGTGGCATCCATGCCTTAGCTTCGCCATCACGGGCCTAGTATGATATTGCTTGTAATAAGAAATCTCTACTCCTCCTAGTCAATACAACTGTTCCCACTTCTTAATAGACTCTCTTCTCTTGTAGCTGAGAAATATTCCTATCCCACAGTGTAGTCCAAATTCAGAGTGGCTGAAGTGTGAAATTAATTCTTGACATCTGACAAGGAAATGAAAATTGAGATTAACTATGGATTATCAAAAGGTGAAGGCTTGGGAAAGAAGCAAAAGGGGAAAATATTGACATATCCCTCTTTGCATGTCTTGAAGTTAGGTGGAGCCAGAGGCTCCGCTCCAGAGGTGGGTTCCTGCCAGTTCGCACCAGTTCAGTAGAACCAGTTCGTCAAATCTACCGAACCAGTTAGAAGAGGTTCCA